CCGCAGGGCTCCGGGGGGGGGTGGGCGCTGGGCCAGCGGTGAGGGAAGAGGTGGCTGTCGGCTGAAATTTACCCTGTGTGTTTTCCTATTAAACCTAAGTCCATTTTAGAGCGGTTTTTTAATTGTGTAGATGCTGCAGTGGCACGAACTTAAGGGAAAAAAACTAAAAAAGCTCTTACTGAAAGAGCTACGAGGATGATCACGGAACTTGAACATCTGCCCTATGAAGAGAGACTGAGAGAACTGAGGCCTTGAAAGGAGACAGCGGAGAGGGGATCTTATTAGCATATCTGAGGGGTGGATGTCAAGAGGAAGGAGACAATCTCTTCAGTGGTGCCCAGCAACAGAACATAGTTAGGAAGTTGCACCTCAGCATGAGGAGAAATTACTGTGAAGGTGACAGAGCCCTGGCACAGGCTGCCCAGAGAGGTTGTGGAGTCTCCTCTGGAGACTTTCAAACCCACCTGGACACGTTCCTGTGTGGCTGCCCTGGGTGATCCTGCTCTGGCAGGAGGGTTGGACTAGATGATCTCTAGAGGTCTCTTCCAACCCCTGACATTCTATGATTCTATGAAAAATTCATTTAACCTTTTCCTCTGACTCTCCTAGTATCTTCCCTCGCTGCAGTGCAGCTGACAGCAGAAGCGCAGCCGTTTTTCCTGGACACCTTGTCATGTTCATCTTGGGTCTGATCCACGCTCGAGGTTCCAGGGCTGGGGACGTGTGGGTGTTCTCCTGCCTCCAGGCAGCGTTTGGGGTGGTGGGGAGCCAGGCCTCACACCCCAACTTTGCGCTTGCACCAAATTTCATGTTGCTTACCTGTGTCAATTGGCATCTCACTGTTACTCTCTTTTAGGGAGTGGGAGTGAGACTTACCAGCATCTTTTGTTATATTTTTGAATTTTAGGGGAGAAGAGGAAAAAAAAACCAGTTCTGATAAAATTAGCAGAAATTAATGTTTTATGGCACAAGAAATATCTCTCGATCAATTCTCTGCTTCAGTGTTGATTAAAGATTATACTCCATTTGGGAAAACTTGGTTTTGCACTGTGCAATTCTGAAGTACAGCAGCATTATGCTGTATTTTTGCATTGCCGTTGAATATCTGACCCCATCAGAGAACCCATGTGACACTTCCTTCTATCACTCCATTTCACGTGATTTTAGACCTGGCAGCTACACAGAGACCAAAGAACTATATTTAAAAGCTGTATAAACATCCCAGCTGCAACAAAACTCACGTGTGCCACAGCACAAGCAGCCCCTGTGTAAGTATCAAACTATGATACAGTGCAAGCAGTCCCTGTGGAGGTAACAAACCACGCTAATACCAAGTTTAAAAATTATTTTTAAATTGTTGGATGCCTGCTAACAAAGTTTTCAAGTCCATCTACACATGCCTCCTTGAAAGATCGAAACTGGTTTGGAAGTAACTGCTGCTTAATGTTTATACAAAATGACAGTGACCCACATGCGTAATTCCAGAACTTTACTTTTTACCTTTTATTTCACTCGACTTTCTTTTAAAATATTTGTCCCTCAGAACTGGTGTATGCTCCCCTGTATAACGACAGTAAGTCACCAAGCCAGTACTGTGTCAAGCCCAGCACTGCAGATTTTTAAGAGTTATCCTCTCCTGTGCAGAAGCTGCCCCTGAAACCAACTGTCCTGCAACTGTCTGTGTACATCAGGATTATTTTTTTTTAGTTTGAAGTTTAAAAAACAAAACTGACAACAGTAGATTATGACAGTGTAATAAATACCTGGTACCTTGTGACTGGGACAAGAAGGCATTTAATTCTGAGTATGGATCTGAAGCCTTGAGCTCTGTTTTAGCAGCTGGTCATGAAAACTGCAGCACAGTAGTTGCACAGTGAATAGTTGTGTGCGTAAAGAGACTTGGTTTCCTACAGATACAAATAGTGGGATTCTAAACCTTCCCACTCTGATGACTCCAGTTAAAAAAAAATTTACTCAGCTTCCAGGGAGATGCCTAGCTAGTCTCAACCTGCCCTTCAGTCCTAAGTCCCCTTGCAGCCCCTCACCCAAGTACCTCCTTGGATGATTTCTGTTTTCCATTGAATCCAGCAGAAATTGTCCAGCAGATAACAACTTTATTAGGGAGGGCTGAAGGACACAGATATACAGGATTCATGGATGGCATGGAGTTACATGGTGGGTGACAGCAGCGGCTCCAGCGGGTCAGAGGTGCTGAACAGGAGGAACCCGGAGAAGGTGGTATCATCATCAGCATCAGCAAACAACCCGTTGAAAGTCTCTCCATGGTGAGCCTGCAGCCACACCTCGTCTCCTGCCTGTAGCTCAAGGATGGTCGCTCCTGAGGCCTGGTCCTCTCCACCCTGGTACCTGTCCATCGTGTGCAGCATCTTGATGCCATTTTTAACTAGAGCTACTCGGACATTCCTTGAGTAGACAGTGATGTGGTAAGTGAAATAATAAACACCAGGGTATTTGCAGGTGAATTTGCCAGTAACTGAGTTGTAGTCATTTAGACTATTATACAGCACCTTGTCAAACTTGATTGGGCGATTTGGGGGTGGAAATTTGGTGGCAATTGTAAGGCCAACACTGAAAGCACTCCTTGGCAGGACTGCTGGGGGACCTGTGTTCCCCTTATCTCCTCTGTCTCCTTTCAAGCCTCTTTCCCCCTGAATTCCTGGATGACCCTGTGGCCCCACATCTCCAATATTACCCTTAGGACCTGGATTACCAGTTGGGCCAATTGGCCCTGGGAAACCAACTCTTCCAGGATTGCCAATTTCACCCTTTGTCCCTTTTGGACCTATTGGCCCAATGTCTCCTTTTAACCCCTTTTGTCCTTGCAGTCCTAGCTCTCCCTTCTGACCTTTGTAACCCACTGACCCTATAATTCCTTTTGGTCCCAGTTTCCCAGGTCGTCCTCTTTCTCCTTTATCTCCTTTGTTCCCCTTCTCCTCAACAGTCCCGTTGGCTCCTAGATGGAAATTTAAAAAAAAAAACAAAAGAAAACAGAAAGAAAAGACACTTTCTTGTGATCCTCCACTGGATTAGTGATGCACAACATGACTTTCAGGACAAAGACATAGATCTGTAGGTGTGTGACACCACTGTACATATTGTGTTCACTGTACATAAAATTTTTCATACATTTCAGTGCAGGATAAGCATAACCTCTGAATAACCTGCTATTGTGTTAGAAAAGGTGCTCTGGCTGAGAGAAACAAGAATAATCTCAAAGAATGGAAGATGTGATTTGTCTTAAGCTGATGGTAGCACTGACAGCTTGAGCACAGGCAGCATCTGTCCAGACACTTTTTTTCTGCCTTTGGTACACAAAATGGAGGAGCTGATTCACAATTTAATCAGAGGAAGGTTCTGTTTATCAACACCCAGAACCTCCTTCTTGTGTGTTTCTGTAATTTTTATATAATGAAACTTTGCTTGGGTTCCCTATATTGCTACTGCAGTGCAACTAAGGGCTTTTTATCCTTGTTATTTGCTATCACACTCTCCATTTATCCTTTATCTACTCCTAGACTGAAGCTCAAAGCCTTTGAAACTCCTCTGATTGCTGCACAAGGGTTTGAAGGTGAAGGTGTCATGATGTGAAGGGCATGTTAGCAGTTGATGGACAAAAAATACCATAATGATCATACACTCTGTCAATCAGGAAACGAAGCTGATTGATAATTTCTGCGTAAGAGCCTTTGACTAATGATGTTAGGAATAATGCTATATTTATGTGTTACTGTTCTCAATTTACAACTGAGAGTGTTATCAGCAGCAAAGAACTGAAAAGAGGGGAGATTGTGTGATAGCTTCTGGGAAGAGCCGTGCAGGTCCATTAGGACAAGAATGCAGCAAAAGAAGATAGCTTTGGTAATTTTAAACAACATTTGTGGCCCCATGTCTCTTGCTACTTCCTTTCTAATAGACAGGAGGGGTGTAGAACGGCTTGTAATTATTCCCATGTAATGCATGCGCCATATGTTGTTTCTCAAGGTCAGTTTCAGCGTTTTAGAGAACTTGGACACTGTCTTTGGCAGGCTTCCATGCTTTTGGATATACACGTGGTCTGTGGACAACTCCTCTCAGGATGCACAAGTCCAGCATCTCAGAGTTACTGCACTTGTGCGGAATGATGTGATGCCACTTGCACGCTGGCTGACTCCCTGCTTTTATGCACACGTTCATCCACCTAACACAGGAGACACGCTGCGTGTGCATAACTTGGCTAAACAGGTGAAGTACACAGGATCTACTGTATATTTTGGTGTATAACTTGTGTATTCTATAATTTCTTTTAAAAGTCCCTTTCCCTGAAGTTGCATACATAGCTACAGAAGCCTCACTTTCCTGAGGTAGGTGCAGATGTGGTGTCTTCCTCAGCAGCTGACAAAAGGATCAGGGATATAAAGGGACAGATAATGGGCTGAGTGAACAAACTGTAGGGCATCAGAGGCAGCAAGACAGCTGGAGGTGGCAAATTCCTCTTGTATTGTCAGCATGTGTGTGCAGTTTCTACTACACCTGGAAAAAGGTTTTTTAACCTTTATGATACTTTCGCTACAGCTAGAATGTATAGCATATCCAGTGCTCATAAACACAAGGGCTGAACCTGATAGACAAATAATAAATTTAAATGCTTCCTCTCTGACCTCGTTCGCCTTTCTCTCCATCTGCACCATCTTTCCCTGGACTGCCAGGAAGTCCTGTTTCACCTAGTACAGAAGAGAAAAACAGATTTTCATTAGACAACTAAATTACCAGAAAACTTGGCACAAATATTTCTCTAATACTTCCTCTTCAAGCCTGGCTGAACAGTAATGTAGACAGTAGTCTTATTCCTGACTTTTAGTGGGTGTCACTGCTGGTACTTTTACTTTATAGCGAGATTGACAGAGAGCACAGAAACTCTGCCTGAGGATGGTATTTTTTTCAGACAGAGGGAATGCTTGGCAGAAAAAGATGGGTTATTTAGATACATGGAGGAGCTATACCCTCATCAGGACCATCAATGTGCAAACCTCTTGTCATGTTGTTGCCTTCATCCATGGAAGATACCAGCAGGAAAAGGAGTGAGGAAGCCGCATTCAGAAAGGAGCTTTGCAGGGATAAGAAGCCTAGTAATGAAGCAATGATAAACTCCCCTCTCAAGAAGAGACATCTGCAGGAGTTTGACCAATGGTAATGAAACAATACAGTGGAATAATATTGTCTGTAGATCTGAATCATACTCCTGATCCCTGTGTCTAGCATGACACAGATTTTCCACTGCTCTAATGGGAGCAATTATAGAATTCATTCTGTATTAACATCACAAGTGACCAGTGCGTGTGTGAACAAATACCTGGATTTGCATCCAGAATGCAGCAGAAGAAAAGAGTTGGCAGTTTGGATGTGACTATATTCTAAGTAGTTCTCTGACCATACGGACTGGAAAACAGTTCTTTATCAGTTTTCTGCACAATGGGCACAGTCCATCATCTGCTGAAATTTCACTGACTTGGTAAGGAGCAAAACTAAACATTTAACTCCTAAGATGTATGTACATACAATATAAACATACAATATAAAGAATAGGACAGTCAGCCCAATGTGTTCAAACAAAGAATAGTCAGTGCAGTCATGATAGTAGCTTGATTTAGGAAAAAACTTGGGAACTTTATAACAAATCCGTGGTATCATGTCATAACTCACAAAGTAAAATGAGGACATTTCTAAGATAAATAGTGAACTCTAGATTTTTTATTTTCCAGATGTCCCTGGACTTCCAGGCAGATAATTGTGTGTACCTGTTAAGAATTGTATGTGCCTATTAAGGTAATTGTATGTGCCTATTAAGAAGTTAATAGAATTGTTTGTTTAAAGATTTTAAAAGGTTCTGGTTTTAGCCAGGCTAAGGCACTGAAACAGAAGGAGCACGTAAGTGGTTGCTTGACAGAGAACCCTAAATCATTTTTTAAACAAGAGAGTTCAAAATAAGTCTTTAGCAATTACTGAGGTAAACACATAAGCAAGTAGACTTGTCTTTCGCTAGTCTAAAGCAGGCCATAAGCAGTGAATAACTCTTCATTGCTCAAATTATAAGTGCTGGTTATTTTTCAGCTGATTTAGTTTACTGTATAGCCACACAAATAGTTGTGATATAAAAGGGAGAGGAGACGAGTGCTAAGAAAAGGATCTGGTAGTGGATCCCACCTGTGCCAGCACAGCCACCAAGGAACCACATGTCACACTACACCTTCAGCACCAATTCTGCAGCGTGGGCTGTCTGGAGAGGCATGGACTTTTCTGGTGGAGCAAGTGATGCATTAGTTTAGCAACCCACTCTGTTAAAGGCAGACATTTCCACCAGCTTGAAAGACATAGTAAAACGCTTCAGCATATTTTAAGTTCATTTCTTTAGGACCACTAACCTTAGTTTGGTATGTGCAGTTGATTTTATACTCCACTGAAAAAAGCTCTGATACACTGTCCTTAAGATCACTACTCAGTAGAAGGGTTTCTCTGGTAAGTACAAGTTTGATCCAGATTGATTTTTGCCGCTGATTTAGCAAGGCCCACAAGAGCAGTGTTTGTGACAGGTTTTTGCATTATGCCATAATGCCACATGCATGATGTCACACAGCAGGTGACCTAACGTAAAGCCTCTTGGGGAAAACTTCACCCCAAAAAATTCTGTGGACAAATTTGAAGCAACGGATTTGCACTCGTCCTGTGCTTTGCATTCTAGGGTTGTGACACTTCAGATGAGGTGTTGTACCACATGCTTACAGATTTATCACCTTGTGCAACCCTGGCTTTGGTATTCCAGCACAGATGCAAGGGCTATCGTTATCCTGAGGGTTTAAGTACTATGGGAATGATTAGCTTTAGGATGCCGAGAAAATTACCTCTGTCTTCAGTGTCACATACAAATCTCTATTATAGCCTGTTAGAGCAAACATGAATCCTACAGTTTTTTAGTATTCTCCATTCCTGAAACTCACTGTAGTGGCTCTTGAGTTACAAAGAGTAGGCACACTCAGAAGCAAGTCCTAGAAATGTAAAAATGAGGTAAGAAAGAGGAATCTTACCACTGCACACTTCTTAATAGACCAAACAAGCTACCACTTGCAGGGTGTTTTTAGTGGGCTTGAAGCTCTTTACAGAAACATAGTTGCTATCTTAGAAGTGCCGGAGTAGGTTTGTAGGCTTTAAAATTTTCAAATAGACATGAATATAGCCCCATAACAGAAGGTAAAATCTTTCTTCTTTTGTTTTTATCCCATGAGCCTGACTTCCCCATAGTTTTAGCTATCTTGCTCTCAGTATTAGGTCTTTCTTTATATTTCCTTCTTCAAACAAGTAAATGACAAATATCTGAAGTGTTTTCTGAAGGCTAGGCAGAATAATCCCATTAATGCACAGCAACTTAAAACAATTTCTGGAACTAACGGCATTGCATTTGATACATGAAATCATTTATTCCGAACAGAATACCTGTATCTCCCTTGTCGCCTTTTGAGCCATCACGTCCATCACGACCAGGTACGCCGTTGTGCCCAGGATTGCCGGGGATGCCAGGATACCCTTGGGTACAGATGTCCTGGCTTTGTGTTTCTGCTGTGCTGACGACAATAGCCAGCAGTATAATCCAGTTTTTCATTCTTTATTTAGGTTATGTGATTTTGGCTGAAAGGTTTAAGAAAGCAAAAGTACATCTGCCTAAGTCTACCTTAGAAGGGGATGCGGGGTAGGGGAGAGAGGAAGAAAAGGAAATGGGTTTTCACCATGTCTGTTGTTTTGGTTTGGCTTGTTTTATTTATAGGTCTCCATATAGTTTTAAGTACAACCCTGGAGAAGACCGAGTGCTGTTTCAGATAGTAATTTAGTGGGAATATCAGCCATAGCATCATTACACATTTGAACTCAACTTTACACAATTTAAAATATTCCTTAATTCCCTGTGATTTGGAGCAACAGATTCTGTTTCATATTTTCTTATGCAATATGATTTGTGGAAAGAAGTGATTCTGCAAAGAGAAAATTTGATGCATGTAGATGGTGAGCAGCTAAAAGTCACAAAAGCTCTGGGAGGTTCAGAGCTACCCTTGATGCCCTAGGATCTAACCAGCAAACAAGAAAAATACAGTTCAGTGCATCCCATGAGAGATTCATACTGTTCTATTTAAACTATGAGTGCACCGATAAAGCCCAGATTTCATGGATTTGGCTGAGTTTAACCCAAATTTCAAGATCATAATATAAGGGCAACTCGGGCAAAAGTGATCATCTTTTTTTCTCCTCAGCAAACACAGGAAGGAATATACAGTTGCAGTAGTTATGTGCCAAAGAACTTCCAGTGACCTGTCGTACTCCAGCCAAAACCTTGAAACTCCAATGTCTGGCAAATCATAGAATCATAGAATGGCCTAAGTTGGAAGGGACCTTAGAGATCATCTAGTCCAACCTCCCTGTCATGGGCGGGGTCGCGTCTCAACTAGATCAGGCTACTCAAGGCTCCATCCATCTTGGTCTTGAACACCTCCAGGGAGGGGGCAGCCCCAACATGGAAGTGTATTGATAGTAATGTTTTTGCTATCCTAAGCCCAAATCATCAGTCAAAATTTCAAGTCTTGGGGTGGTGATTCAGTTTGGACCAGTGATCCCACATTGATGCACAAGGATTCATACAACATCCTGTTTCTCTAGGCTATGGTTTAGCTTATGTAACATATAGGCATTCTACTTCTTCAGAAGTCTCTTTGTAAACTCCTTTAACCAGAATAGTGCCCAAAGAGGAGCTATTTCATGGCCATTGCTGTGTTTCAAAGCCAGGCAGAAGCCTGTCTACATCCTCCTCTTTCCTATTTCGAAGACTTCCTACCACCTTATGCATTTGACGTCTGTAAGGAAACCCTTCTTTCTGATCTCCAACCTTTTATGACTGTTGTTGGCCATTAATACCTCAATATCTGTCTATCAGCTGGTTAAGGGAAAAATGAAATAATTGAGGCAGTCAAACAGCTCATAACCAAGAAGAAGCAGAGGTCTTAATGCTCACTGCTCCATCCATATTTTTCCCTTCAGCTACTTGTGACTGCGCAGTTGTATGTCTCTTCCCTCAGGAGCAGGCTCTGGCGCCACAAGAAATGAGCTACAGCACTTCAACTCCCTAATTCATAGAATCATAGAATCATAGAATGGCCTAAATTGGAAGGGACCTTAGAGATCATCTAGTCCAACCTCCTTGTCATAAGCAGGGACGCTTCTCAACTAGATCAGGCTACTCAAGGCTCTGTCCCACCTGGCCTTGAAAACCTCCAGGGAGGGGGCAGACACAACTTCTCTGGACAATTTATTCCAAAATCTTGCCACCCTCATGCTGAAGAATTTTTTTCTAAGATCCAATCTAAATCTGTTCTCCTTCAACTTAAACCCATTTCTCCTTGTCCTATCAGTGGACACTCCTGTAAAAAGTCCCTCTTCAGCCTTACTGTAGGTTCCCTTCAGGTATTGGAAGGCAGTTATTAGGTCCCTCTGGAGTCTTCTCCAGGCTGAACAATCCCAGCTCTCGCAGCCTGTCCTCATAGCAGAGGTGCTCCAGCCCCTGGATCATCCTTGTGGCCCTCCTCTGAACACACTCCAGCAGGTTTATGTCCGTCTTATGGTGGGGACACCAGAACTGGACACAGTGGTCAAGGTGGGGTCTCACAAGAGCAGAGTAAAGGGGGAGAATCACCTCTCTTGATCTGCTGACCACACTCCTCTTGGTACATCCCAGGACACGATTGGCCTTCTGGGCTGCATGAGCACACTGCCAGCTCATGTTGAGCTTCTCATCTCTCAACGCCCCCAAATCCTTTTTTTCAGGGCTACTTTCAACCCACTCTGTGCCCAGTTTGTATTTATGCCTGGGATTAGCCCGGCCCAGGTGCAGGACCTTGCATTTTGACTTGTTGAAGCTCATGCAGTTTGCACTGGCCCATTTCTCAAGCCTGTCGAGGTCCCTCTGGATGGCATCTCTTCCTTCAGATGAGCCCACCGCACCACACAGCAATTCAGCATGAAGCAATCATCTTTTTCCCCCTTTTTTTTTCTTTTTTTTTTTTTCCATTGAAGTTTGTTATCTACTGGGTTAATAAGCTGAATGACCTCAGAGGGGGTCCAGAGCTGGAGCAGAGTGAGATCAGGGCAAGGATGTGAGTTATCAAGTAAGAAAATTTTTTGGCAAAACCAAGTCTTTAGTCTGATTCTCCCCCCGTTATGTAAGTAGGCTACTTAAAGTCTGGCTTATATTTATCCATTCATGAGGTTGTCCCTCCTGTATAATGTCTTTTAATATAGGCCCACTGAAATACATTAATACTTAATTCTGGATGCCATTGGTTTAAATGAGTGTAAGAGCAATTAATGGGAAGAAATTAGACTGAGGAACAAAAGTCAAATAGCAACAAAATTAATGCCCGTTTTATTTAGAAATGTGCCAGAGAGGTTTAGATTGGTTATTAGGAAAAGTTTCTCTACTGAAAAAGTAGTGAGGCATTGAGGCAGGCTGCCCAGAGATGTTGTGGAGTCACCATCCCTGGAGGTGTTTAAAAAAGGTGTAGACATGGCACTTCAGGACTTGGTTTAGTGGTCATGGTAGTGTTGGGTTGACAGTTGGACTTGATGATATTGGAGGTCTTTTCCAACCTTAATGATTCTGTGATTCTATGAAATAATATTCATAAATATCTAACGCATAGAAGCTTGGGCTATATAGGTGAAGTACTTACTTAAACAGGTAGAAGTGATAGTCAGAATGAGTAAATTTTACATAATTAGCTTCTGGTTTTTTCTTGCATTAATGAGAACTTAATACTCTCAGTATTCCTTTTGAAATAATAACTAGCATTGACTAATAAAATGATGTCTTCAGTTTAATCTCTTCACCACTATTTCTCAATCTGATGAAACAATGCACACAGATACCATGTAGAGGAATACCAATACGTTCACAATAACAATAATTATGCCCTGTTAGCAATATTCAATCTAAATATTCTTTTAACTTAATTTTTAGAGGAAGACCTTAATTTTGGGACACATTCCTTAATCTTTTTATTCTGTCTTCAGAAAAGTTCCCCATTTTGCCACACTTGCTGGAAATGTGACTTATTGTGCCTTTGCCAAGAGCCCACAGAGAGATGCAGCAAAATCCTACTTTATCTGCAATTGCAGGTTGGCACTAAAGAAGGTTGAAAATAGATTAAACATTCGCTACGTCTGAGCAACATAAACATTTGGTGCCATAGTCATAGGACTCCAGAAGCGTGCAAAAGGAAGAAGTGCTCTGTATGATGCTGTTAGGATATGATGCATCCCATGGAGAAGTCTGAAAGTCCCCGTCTGTGGACAGAAAGCCCCATTCCCAGCTATCTGAGGGAGTGCTTCTTGCCCAAGGAATAGACAGGTTAGTCCCCATACATGCACTCCTCTCTACAAGCTGACAACATCAACCTCCTCATTGCCACCGTCATCACATATATAGGTTCTTTGGTCTTACCTCATTCACTTTGTACTTGCAATGTTCTTGCACATCTTTAACCAGAGCATACAAGCTTCACATAAAGGAATGCACGCTTCAGATATGTGCCTTGAGGATGAGCACTTGTTTGGTCACTAAATTCTCAAAGGTCAGTGATTTCATTCTGAGAGCTGTTCAATAATTAAAACTGAAGTTCAAACTGGAACCTTCCTATTTATTCCAATGTTAAGCTGAAGTGCTCTGTACTTTGGCTTTTACCACTGTTATGTGAAAGAAAATTATAAAAATATGTTACACAAATGTTAGTCTTTGACAGTTTGGTTGGTTTGTGGGATGGCATATCTCATACCACTATTGTGCTGCAAAAAACATGTAATAAAGTTAGCTTCTGTATCAAGCAATTTACAATGGAATTTGGGGGGAAAAAAAGACTATAGAAATTAAAAATAATAATGTTGTTAACATGGCATTACAAAAATTAGGTGATTATGGGGAAGAAGTAATGAAGTTGAGTTAAAGTAAATAAATTGAATGACAAAGAGAGCTTTTTATGTGTAATTAGCAGGCTCCCCACCTAGCCACTCAAACATCAGTCAAAGCTATCAGGCTACTGAGTTATATATTGTTGATAGGTAAATCAGAAGAAGCCATAACTTGATACTTAAGTCTCTTTTTTTGAAACTACTGAAACTGCTGCTAAGGACCAGTGGAAATCAAGCAGCTGAGCATATCGACTCCTTGAATGTAGATCATGAACAGTGAAGGATAAAACCAATAGTAACAGGAGTTAATGTCTTACAGGAATTGACCTTAATTCACCCCTGTTGGTGCCAGTGACTAAAACCACTGTGTCTGAATGGGTGCCCACACTGCAAATATAGGACATGTCTAGTCTGCCTATCAAATACCTTATCCTGAGCCCAGATGAGCAATGAATAGTTTTCACTAAGGTCTTCACTACCACCCTGTGGTAGTAAGAAAATATTGCAAGCGTTTTGGTGCCCTCGTTTATATCTAGGACATCGTATCTGCCATGCTCTGAGGAAAAGGAAGGACAACGTCCAGCCATTAGCTGCTCTACTTGAATGAACTTCTGTAGCCAAATTAGCCTCGCTGCTGTGCTAATTGAGAAGAAG